GAGAGATACTTTTAGTAGGGAAGGGGAACAAGAAACAATGTGGACTGGGAAAGTGTCAGTCACCCAGAGAGAGTTCATGCCAGACGGAAGTTCCCATTTTGTGCTATAAACCTACAGCACTAGAAATACACGCACAATTAAAAAAAAAAAATCAAGCCCTTGATATTAATCAGCCTCCCTAGCCAGGAAAAAGGGTAAAATGTTCTCACAGGACAGTTCCTCCCCTTCCGGCCACCAGTGTGCTAGCACCTCACCAGGTGAAATGTGGACGGAGGAAAATAAAACATTGTTAGAATTACAGTAAACCTAAAACGATACATTAATAGACACTCGTCACTTAAATTTCTGCCCACGCCACACTGCGTGGATAGTCATTATCCCTTTCGTCAGCTGCCCTTCTCAAGACGAGACGACCAGCAACGATCTCTTATCACCTCTGATCCGTGAGAACGAGGTCTAACACTTCGGGAGAATTTCTATAACATCGTAATATTGGCTTCAGTATTCTGATCGACAAGCAGTCTGCTTCAGTCTTAGGGATTCCCTAATAACACCTGCTACCTCCCAATGCCTGAGTTGGACTGGAGTGCTTTCCAGGTCCCTCCTCAGGTGGCCCTCATGGCTGCTCCGTGAGGCAGCCAGGCAGCAGAAGCCCCCATCCAGATGAACCTGAGACTTGGGAAGGTGACTACCGAGGGGTCATATGGCTATTAAGAATTGAAAAGGAGGGCTAGGAACTGCCCTTTGAACTAACGCTTTTCCTCATCTGAACGGACAGAAACTCCTCCTCCTGGCCTGGGCATGAGTAATCCACATCCTTTGCAGCTTCAGCAAGGTGACTGGAAAGGAATGGCTCTACCCTTGCAGCTTCAGCATTCAAATCCCTTAAGTTAGGAAGTCAGAAGAAAAATCTCCTTTTCTTCAGTCCTTTCTTCAAACCTGAGCATGGCCCTGCAGTACCTCAGAGAGGGGGGTGATGGCGGTGAACCCTGCGTGGACACTGAAGTGTGAACGGAAGGACAGCGAAAAAGGAGTGTCCCTCAGAGCTGCATGGAAGGCACTTCAGACAATGTCCTCGGCAGGGGCGTGGACCGTGTGTGCGCCCAGGGTGGAGAACTGGTACCAGTTGCGCAGAAAGCCCCTGTTGTACTGGCCTGTGTCCACGATGAGCCCACAGAGGAGCCGGCGGCCTGTCTTCTGCCGAAGGGCCTGCTGGACTTCCCTCTCGGTCACGTTGTAGCTGATGTTTATCAGCTGGATGAGGAAGATGTAGGCCATGCCTGCTGTGATGATCACGGAGTACCACACACAGGTGAAGGACAGAGCCGAGCTGCGTTGGAGAAAGGGACCTTTCTGAACACCTATACTCCTTAGTAAGGACCAGAGCATCCTCTCCAGTCCCGCTTAGAGGATATCATAGCAGCCTCAGAATGCTAATGCCCAGGTGAACCCTTTTAATTTTCCTCTGGATTGTTAGTACGTGTTTTTCTAGCATGTTATATTTAGCAAAGATTGTTTTATTATCCTTGCAGCAGCTGACAGCAGGTATTCAGCATCTGCTGAATGAACGAGCGATTCCTAGGTAGTGTCCAACTCCCGAGGAAGCAGAGGTTCCAGATCATTACTGGTGTCCTCTAGGAAGCTGGAGATGGAAATCTAAGAACAGGACTAATGTTCTGTCTGTGGTCCAGTGCTGACTGAGCACTACCAGGGCCACTCTCACCATTAACAGCCCTTTACTTATATGTGGAAGCCAGGCTGGAGCCATGGCCCAGGATTTAAGAGTGCCTGCTGTTCTTCCAGAAAACGTGAGGGCAGTTCCCAGCACCCCAGGGAGTTAGCTCACAACCACCTGCCACTTCAGTTCCAGGGGCTCAGATGGCCCCTTCTGGCCTCTGTGAGCAGCCACGCATACTTGGCATACATTCACAAAAATAAAAAAGAGCTGTATGAAACTAACATTTCAAATCACACAGGGCAGGAAAACATCTTCCAGGCTCCTTCATGAACTGTGGGCTGGGGCTGCCTGTTAGCATAGAGCAGGTCATGTTCATTTAGACATGCACAAGTCAAGAGTGGAAAGAGGTCACTGGCTCTTTGTCAGCATTCAGACCCACTACTCGGAATCCTGGCCAAGAAACAGATCACAGCCTGGCCCGCCCAGTTCCCGATGCCATCCTATGTTCGGTCCCTTTAAGAAAGGACTCCTCCCCCTTCGCCCTCTCTTCCCCCTCACCACAAGGTGGCGCACACCTCACCTCCCCCCTCCTTTTTCTCCTCCTCCCTCCCCCCCCTTCCCCTATCTTTCTTTTTCCCCCACCAAATAAAACTCTCCACTGGGCGCTGTCTGCATGGCGTCTCTGTCTCTTACCCACCGTGGGGCACCTTGGCTCCACCCGCCAAGGCCTCTCTCTCACTTTATCACAACACTCTTCATTTGCAAAGTTAAACAGGACCTCACAGATTACAAATCCAAAACTTCACCCTAAGCTGAGGTGACAGCAATCACTGCATAGACTGGGGTGAGAAGTAATGGTGGGACCTGGCACCCCATTCCCCCACGAAGCACACAGACACTTTGCATTACACTTAACACCCTTATGTTGGCCAAGAATTTCACAGTGACTATCCACATGTCTAGAGCTGAAAGTTACCACAAGAAGGGAGGGCTAATAACCTCTCTAAAATATCTGTAATATCCAAACCTGGAGTGGGGAGCTCTGCCACAGACTAATAAGAACTAACAACACACAGGGTGCCTGGTAGCTGTGGGGGGGCCCAAGACAGCTTGACCACACAGCAGCCATGACAGGCTTAGAGGCCCAGATATAACTTCTGTGACAGGATTGCTGGTAGGCAACACCCAGGTCCAAGAAAAGCCATAAGCTGACCCCACCTAGGGAGGGCCTGCATCTAAGGGGAAATACCTGACATTCCAAACATTCCTAGCACACACCTATATCCCTAGACAGATGTCAGTCAATCAGTCAGGGTCCTGAACCCTGGAAATCCCCTCACCCCAACCTCTGCTATGATAAAAACCTCATATTGCCTCGGACAGACAGAGAGACCAAGATCCAAGCTTAAAATATGGGATTCAGGCTCCGTGGTATATTTGGAGAGTCCCCACAATCTGGGCACAACAATACCAATAGCAGAAACTGCTCCGGAGAACAAGGAGTGAGAAGGAAGAAGAGAACCAAAGAAACAGTATGGGCGGGAAGCACCCTGGGGTGTGGGGGATGGGGGTGGGGGGGGGAGAGTGGGGACAAAAGCACCCTTGGTGTGTAGGAGATATGTGTGGGGGGGGGCAAGAGCACCCTTGGTGTGGGAGGGTGGATGGAGCAAGACCAACCATGAGAATCCCACTTACACCACTGCATGGGAATCTGTACAGTTTATAAATGGGTTCCCACCTAATGATGCCTAAGGAATCTTGACCTAGATAACACAGTAATCATGAGTGGTGAATTTAAAAAGAGAGAGAGAAAAAAAAAATTAGAGCAGAACAAACCATGAGAGGTTAGAGAGAAAGGAAAGATCACAGAGACATGAGCAGCTCTCAAGAGGATCCCGCTGCGACCGCAGGCACACAGGAACGTCTCCACTTCGGGAGTTCCTGATACAGCCAAAGCCTGTTTGTTGTTTGTTTGTTTGTTTGTTGAGAAAGGGTCTCTCTATGTGGCCCTGACTGTCTTAGAACTTGATTTGTAGAAGCAGCTGTCCTCAAACTCAGAGAGATCCACCTGCTTCTGCACCCCAAGTGTTAGGATTAAAGGTGTGCGCCATCAATGGTGCTTCTGATAATCACCCTAGAACACACCCACACACCCCTGCACAGCTTGGTTGGCAATCTTAGGGATGTCCAGAGTCTCCAAAGCCTGCCCTATGCTTTGATTGAGAACAGCTAACTTAGGAGCAAATAACTCCCTATTTCTGGCAACAATGATTACTTCCTCACTGGCCCTCTCAACAGAGGGTTCCACAACTTACCTGTAATTTGTGTAAACTCCAGGACAGTAGAAAAGGGCTGTGAAGAGGCTTCTGTCCCTACAAATGGTGTTCAAGGTCAGCGATATCCCGTACACAGAAGTGAGCAAGAAGACCAAAAGGGCAAGTATAAATGCTTGATGATTTGATTCTCCAACGCAGCTGTTTATCCTCAAAACAGCAGAGGGGGAAAACACATTTGAAAACGTCTCGGATAACCCACACGATATACAAGAAAGCCTTTAAAACAGGGACAGTAGGAACTTCAGTTATGAAACACTAAGTCATCCTAGTTTTCAATTTTAGGGAAATAAAACCTTTTCTACTGTGTGACAAAGTCTTATCTTTTCTATGGAAGAGGAGAACCATTATCACTTAGTTTAAAGCCATGACTTAAAAAAAAAAAAAAAAGCACTAGCCAGCTAACAAATTATCCATCTAGATAAAGAACTTATACATATATGAACATATGTAAAGTAATATATATGCACGTGTGGGTTTTTTATGTGGTGCTGGGGATTGAACCTGGTTCGTTGCTCATGTTAGGCAGACGCTCGACCATTGGACCATTGGGCTACATCCCAGCCCGTTTCTAAATATTAATAAGTGAGGTCTACTACCCAGCTATGAGGAAAGTTGAGATTAAGCAGTTATGAAAACTGTAAAAGTACAGTCAGAAATACTGCACAAAATTGGAAAATACGTTAAGTACGTATGAAGCAACAAAAAAGATCGAAAGCAGTTGAAACTTCAGTGCGGCATGGAGAACACCATATTATGAAGCTGGTCGGATAAAAAATGGTCCTATGTCATGGGCTCTGTCAAGGCAGGCAGGGAACACAGGCCACCACTCTTCTGCCCAAGCATCCCAGGATGCTCAGTGGCAAGAGGTTTCCTACAGGACAAACCGTCAGATTCTGCAAACGAGCGTTTGGAAATGGGCCGACATTTCACGTGCACATGCACACAATGGGGATAAATGGCAAGTGTAAAACTGAAAACAGCCCTTTCCACCTAAACACAAGTCCCAGAAAGAGATGTCCCCGTCCTAGGGCCATGCACTTGGCCATTTCAATATCCTCCGAGCTTTCCATACACTCTCTCTCCTGTTCCCTGCAGGCCTAACGTGCAGTTCATTAACCAGAGCTGCCCCGAGAGCCAACACAACGGCGGCACACCTCCTACTCACAGCATTCAAGGCTGAGTCCTAACATCCCTTCAGCATCACTTGGTGAAATTTTAGATGCTGCACTTCATATGGTATGGGCCTGATGTGATTTTCCTTGTCACTAGCCAGCTTGAACATACAAAACAAAGCCCGTCTCCTGGCAGGTAACCAATAAAGGGATATCTGATAGGACCTCAGCTACAACGGCGAGCGGTAATCCCTGTGTGCATCCAATGACTAAGGATGTACCACAGCAAGAACACAGTAGAGTCACTTGAAAACAGGGACCATATGTGCTCGCAGGCGAGCAGGCATCTACATTTGCCATGTGGAAACAGAGGTTGATGCTGGTGTCTTCCTCAATCATCCTCCACCTATTTTCTGGGGCAGGGTCTCTCACTGAACCGGCAACTTGCTAATTCAGCTAGATGGGATGGCCAGCAAGCCCCAGCGATCCTCCTGCCTCTGCCTTCCCAGTGCTAGGTTCAAAAGCACATGCCACTCACTGCACACGGGCTCTGCATGAGTGGGGAGGAGAAACTCAGGTCCTCATGCTTGCCTGGCAAGCATTTTACCAACTGAGCCGTCTCCACAGTCCCTGACCAAGTCTTCTTTTTTTAATCAACCAAAGGAAAACTGGAAGGAAAAGGGGGGTGGGGTCCCAAAGTTTCCCGTCTCATCTCCTTCAGGAATTTGAAGGCACTAAATCTGTGAAACTCAAAAAACCTGATGACTAAGCGGGAACATCCTCACAGCCTACAAATATCTACAAGGTGTAAAACTGGGAAAAAGAGACGTTTTAGGACAGCACAAAGGAAAATCAAATATGGGTATGAATTCAGTTTCTGGGCTTCCAGATTTTTCCAACATACCAGACACAATGATGATCCATTCTCCTTACACAGATACCACATATCCGGCAATGCCATGCCCGGGCGGGTCGTACTAGCTGGCACTTGGCACACCAGTCCTCCTTCACCTTGGCAGGGCTGTCAAGTCCCACCCTGGAGGAGCCCTTGATATCATCCTTCAGTGTGCGGTTGTTGAGGCTCCCTGAGGAATCTGTTCCGGGGAACCCCCCTTTGGTCTTCTCCTGCCCTTTTCTGATGGGGCATTCGATCTGGCTGTTGCTTGGGGATTTGCCATTGCATGCTGGATTGCTGAGGTAGCCTGGATCCTTCTTGGCTCGGTACAAGGCTAAGAGTATCAGGAGCAGCCCGCAGGTAAGAAGAGCCAGCTGAGCAGGCCCTACGTGCCCTTTGGGAACCACTTCCCGCAGGAACACATAGTACATGTAGCCCAGTGAGAACAGTCCAAGGCTCAGGAAAAACAGCGTCTGCTCTTTCCTTCTGTGAGTGAGGTAGTAGTACCAGAGCGCCAGCACGGGAAGGGAGGTCAGAACCACCACCCCCAGCAGGAAGTGCCAGGAAGCCACGTGAAGGAAAACCGGCAGAAGCACGAGGGGCGGGACGATGCTAATGTTAACTTTCTTGGCTCCTCTAAGCCAAGGAATTCGGAGGCGATCAGAAATGGTATCTGTGATCCTTTCGCAAGTCTCTGGCCGCACTGATTTACAGGTAAGCCATCTATTCAGAGAGAGCAGAAGAATGGGCGTCACGTGGATTTGTGAATTAAAAACTACAGGGCCCCAGATGTGAAACAGCAGCATAAATGATAAGACACCAAAAGCCAACATTTTATTCCCTCACTACTAAACACAAGCTTTTCAGACTTGTGTGTATCCTTTTTATATAGGAAGATAATGTTTATAAATGTAATGATCCGCATTCTTCCTTAAATACGCGGGTATATGCACATTATTCCATACAAATGTCTAGACCTGAGTGGGTGTACACTCACGTGAATCTTTAAAAAAAAAAAAACTGACAGTGAGAATTCAAAAACTGTCAGGTGAGTGGCCATGATCTTCCAATGAACTCTTAAAAGCTCAGGGGACAGAGATCACAGGGGGCTTAGTGGGAAGGTGTGGTCTGTGCTTAAACCTTGATGGTCAGCTAGCAAAGCAGAAAGGTGGTGTTTCGGCCCAGAGAAATGGGTGCAGTTCAGAGCGTGTCCTGGGCCCTGGGAGTGAAGCGGGCGGGCTGTCACAGACAGGAGTCTGCATAAGCAAGAATGAAGAAGAAACTAAAATAAACCCAATGACTCCAAAGAATGAACAGTGTCTGCTGACTCTGCAGAGTTAGGCATGCTGCTATCTGAATGTTCCGATTTTAAAACCTAAGCCTTAACACCTGAGTATTAAGTGTTGAGGTAACTGGGCATGGTAGCACACACCTTTATTTACAGTTGCATGAAGGCCTGCGGCAGGAGGATTACTGATCCCAGCCACGTGAGGCCAGAGTCAACAATATAGTGAGAGCTTCAGGAGGGTGGTCTTTTAAGAGGTGATTTGGTCCTGACAGGAAAGTCCTCATGGATGGGAGTAGACCCTTTATAAAAGAGGCCAAACGACGTAGCAAGAAAGCACCATTTATGAGGCAGGAGGCTGAACTGTGTTCGTGTCCTAGCGTTTTGTAGAAGGTAGGACTGAAGAACAATGGACTGAATATTGATAGGAGTCGCTAATCAAAGCGTTCAGGGTGCCGCACAATTTCTCTGGAATTCTTATGCTCACATGTGAGTGAAGAGATGAGAGGCTGGGGAGATAGATGCTCAGCTGGCAAACAGGAGGACCGAGTCTGGATTCCCAGTACTCACGTCAAAGGCAGGTCAGATGACATGCCTTTGCAACCCCAGCACTCGGGAGGTGGCAGTGCATCTCCAGAGCTCACTGGCTAGCCACTCTACCCAGTCACTGAGCTCCAGAGTCAGTGAAGAGGCCGTCTCGGAAATTAGGGTTGGGGATCAATTGCATGAGACATCTGACACACCTTTGGCCTACACATAAATACATATACAAACAATAATTCATAATAATAATAATAATAATTAATAATGATGAGGGGCTAGGTTGATGGCTCAGTTGGCCAAGCATGTGCATGACAGCAGGAGGACTGAGTTTGGATCCCCAGCACCCAAGCGACATGGGGCTAGCAAGCAGGCAATGGGTAAGGGTGCTTGCCACCATGGCTGATGACTTGAGTCCAATCCCCTCAGGGTCCACATGGTGGCAGGTTGTCCTCTGACCTCCACATGAAAACCACGGGACATGCATGTACCCACAGGCACATACATTATGGCAACAGAGAGGCATGGTGCTGTGAGCTTGTCATCCTCCTGCTGCACTGGGAGCAGCAGACAGGAGGACTCCGGAGATGGCTGGTCAGCTAGCCTGGCCAACTGAGGGGCTCTAGGTTCAGTGAGAGGCACTGTCTGGAAAGAAAATATAAGGCAGAGAAACAATTGAGAAAGACACCTGACGTCAACCACTGTCCACAAGGAGCACACATGTGCACATATACATACAATACATATAACACACACACACACACACACACTGACTTTAAAGACATAATGTATACAGCCAGGCGGTGGTGGCACGTACCTTTAATCCCAGCACTCAGGAGGCAGAGGCAGGAAGATTTTCTGTGAGTTCGAGGCCAGCATGGTCTGCAGAGCGAGTTCCAGGACAGCCAAGGCTACACAGAAAGACCCTGACTCAGAAAACAAAGAAAGCAAACAAATACAAGGCGTAATGTATAACCAAAGAGGAAACAGAACCTGAAGATCTGGAAGGTTCTTAGCCTTCTTAACCTGTCCAAACAATAAACAACTGTGAAAGCCTGTGTGAGAGTACATCTTAAGATCACTGTGGTTTGGCCCTGTGCTACGCATCAAGAAAATGAGAGGATGACCCTTAAAACAGTTCGAAGGCTGAGGCTGCACTCCTATCATAAACCTAGAATGCTTGGGCCTCGATGACACCATGGTTTCACAGGACATGGCTCAGAACGCCCATGAAACCTCAGGGCTCACTGCCTAGTACCCCATCAAGTCTCTACTCCCTACATTCTAGTGTAGCATCTCACAGAAACCCCAGGCGTGGCTCCTGAGAAGGCTGCAGGGGCCACCGCTCCCAAGGACATGGGTAGTAAACTTGGGTGGCATCGTATGTTCCCAATTCTACAGACCTACAGAATACAAGAGCTGGGGGAGGGGGGGGGTATGGCTATATCCAGGTAGATGCCAAAGAATGTTCCAGAGAACATCAAGGCTGAGGCCAAGAAGTACCATAGAGCAGAGTCACCCCATGGAGCCCTCACTAAGGTATCATCCTGTGTACCCATGGGCATGGGACCACTGCAGACAACCTCACTAGGTGGTGCCTGGTCAAGCTGTAGGGGAAAAACTGACCAAGACCCCAGAAATGGTGGACCTAGCAGCCCACAACCTCTGTGTAGGGCACAAGACTCTAACACATGAAAGGTGCGTGGTGAGCTGTATGCTTAGGGGACCGACTTCTAGCTCAGTGTGTCTGGAAGGTGGGCTACGTAGTCAAATATTATCTTTAAGACTTGCATCGTTACACAGAGAAACCGTCTCCAAAAAACAAACAAAAAAAGACTTGAATCATAAACATGTCATTTGCCCTGTGGGAATGGGACTTGTCTTCCCCATTTTCTTTCCCATTTCTCATTTTTGCCATGGGAATTTCTTTTCAACGAATGTCCCATTATTGTGTCTTGAAAGTATGCAACTGTTACTTCTTTTTTTCTTTATTCCCCCCCCCCCCCCAAAATAGGATTTCTCTGCGTAGCTTTGGAGCCTGTCCTGGAACTCACACTGTAGACCAGAGACCAGGCTGGCCTCGAACTCACAGAAATCTGCCTGCCCCTGCCTCCCGAGTGCTGAGATTAAAGGTGTGTGCCACCACTGCCTGGCTATTTTTTATTATGATTATTTTATGCGTACGTGTGTTTTACCTGCATATATGTATGTGAATGGTGTGTATGCCTCATGTCCACTGAGGTCAGAGGAGGGTGCTGGATCCCTTGGGACTGGAATTCCAGGCAGTTGTAAGCTGCCATGTGGATGCTGGGAATTGAACCCTGGTCCTCTACAAGAGCAAGAAGTGCTCTTAGCCTCTCTTTTGCCCACAGCCTTTTATCCACAGGCCCGTAGCTGAAGGACACTGCCCAAGTCCTTCATGAGTTTCTCCTGTTTCTGATTTAGACAGTGTCATTCTGACCACTGTCCAGACTTAACATGTCTGTGCTGACACTTGCACAATTAAATATTTGAGGTTGTTGGTAGGTAAGGAATGTATTTTTGATTGTGAAGACATTCATTTGGAGGGGGCAAAGGCAGACTGCTAAGACCTGAATATCTGTAGCCCACTAAAGTTCATTTAGTCCAAATTTAACCCACAATACAATCTTATTAAGCGGTAGGGCTTTTAGGAAGTGATGGAGTCAACAAGATAGAGCATCAATGAGATTAACATCCACACAAAAGAAGACCAAGGCAGGCAGGTCATTCATCCCTTTTGCCACGTCGGGATTTAGCAAGATGATGCCATCTATGAGGAAGAGGGTTCACACCAGATACTAAATCTGCCAGCACCTCTGACTTGGATTTCTCCATCTCCAGAACTGTAGGCAATCCACTTCTATCACTTGTACCCACTCTGAAGCATTTTGATGCAGCAGCCGAAGTGGACTAAGACAGGCAGGACAGTTAAGGCAGTTTAGGTAAAAATCACTTTTGACAATTGTTCTGAGCAGGACTCAACTCGAACGTGACTGGGGGATGACTGCCTGGAGTCACAGGGCAGCAGGGTCAGTGGGGACAGGGAAGCCTGTCTCCAGGAAAGAAGGTAGACGTAGCGGGGGAGGGGAGAGCTCGGGGACAGCCCAGGTTCCAAGGGCTAGGAGGGAGGAGGAGGAGGCAGAGCTAATGGAAACGCCGCAGTCCTGAGTGACAGCCGTTATGGAAACAGCATCATCTCTCCATTCATTCCTGCAAAGTGCTCTCTTTCCTCAGTATGGATTTTAGACTAAGTCTAAAGAAGCTATATTTAAGGCTACCTACAAAAAAAAAGACAAGGAACAATTATAGAGAGGTTATGGGCTTGAAGAGAAGACTGCAGTGATTCCCCAGGGAAAGCTTTTTCATGGCTAGATTAACAATCTACAGTAACCGTGACTTTGTAACCAGAAGGAGCTGCTTCTGGGAAAAGCTTGTCTCCAACATCCCTCTTCCTCTCACATTATGCTTTCCATAAGTAGACATTTAAAATATATTTTTAGAAAAAAGGCTAAAAGCAGTCCATTGCTGCTTGATACAAAATGTTTCTCCTTGATGCTAAAAGGTATCCTTCTAGATAGCAGTTTCCATCACTGATATGGTGGTGAAAATAAAGGCCCACAGATAAGACAATACTACAATCAAGATGGTATTTAAAACCGTTTCTGTGGGGTGTACATGACCGTTCTTCCTGGAAACAGGGGGTAAACCAAGCAGATAACCATCTTTCAACCTCCAAGACCCATGTGAGCGAGTGAGAACAGTCCCTTGCATGGACTCCACTAAGATCACTGAGAATATAACAACTTTCCTGAATGTTCATTTAAACGTGCGGTTTGGGCTGGTTTGTGCTCCTTAACCCACTGAACTTCCCACGATCCCCTGTTCTGCGTGTTCTCCCCATCGTCATCCTTTAAAAAGAAAACTCTTGAGTCCTCATGGATTGAACCGGACATCTGTGGACGGCTACATACCTCATTTTTATAAAATCTTCACCCGACATCAAAAACAATTCTCTGTTTTAGATCCTCTGGAATAGAATCAAAAGCAAATTCTAGCATTCTGGATGGTAAACCTGAGAGAAGATACGGTAGGTCTCGGCAGAAGCAGTGGGGTCAGCCTCTGAAAACTGTATGCTTACCTGTCACAGCCTTCATCGAGGTCTTGACAGTCACACAAACAGGCAGCCACGTGGTTCTTTTCCCCATTTCGATCTATATACTCACAGCAGCACAGGGGCTCCAACTCGGGTTCCTCGGTTTTCTTTTTTTTTACTGGCTTCATATTGCCCTTCAGTATTTGCACCTGTCACCATGAGGCACCAGAAGCTCTCAGATGGTAAAGGTGGCAAGAACTCAACTCACATCCTGTAAACACATCCTCGCTTGTGATTAACGCCAACGCCTGAGCAATAAAAAAAATAAATAAAAAATAAAAAATAAATGAAAAGAAAGGGGGGAGGGGTCCTGTTTCCATCAGGTTTTTCTGGCTCCGTGTGTCCTGAAAGGGGGCTCCTTGATTCCTGGGGGCTATGGATATCTTCACCTCCCCTTCCCAGCTAGGCTAGTAGCATCTGGGTACCAGCCGTTCCCATGGCGACAGCCGACCACGCGGCCCGGGACAGCAGGGCTAGGGCGGCCCAGTTCACCTGCGGGTGCCGGGCTGGGTAGAGCCGGGCGGTCCCCACCCCGAGGCTGCGCGCCGTGGAAACTCACCCTCGCAGGTGCCGGCAAGCGACGCCCCGGCGCAGCGACCGTCCACCCGCCCCGGGGCTTGCCAGGAGTCCCCGGCAGCCCCGAGATCGCCGTCCAGCCCACTCCGAGCCAGGCGCTCCGAGGGCGTGGGCGGGCCTGGAGAATGACCTTGGCTGAGAAGTTACCTGCCCTCCGACGAAGGCGGGGACCGGGAGGAGGACCGGCTCCTCTGGGCGCGGCTGCGTGTCTCGGACCCGGCACGGCGGACTCGGCGGTTCAGGGCGGAGTCGCCCACCTGTGTGCACCGCCGGTGTGTGCGCGCGCCTCTGCCTTCGCGATC